TGAGCATACAAATGCAATTTGTGTAATTTATCAATAGATGCATAATACAAATAGTTTTAATAAATATTGATTTAAAACCTTCAGACAGTATTTCTATGATATCATGTAAGAATACTTATTTTAGAAAAAAATGTTTTTTTGGTTTTTTTTTTTTTTTTTTTGAATTTGCCGTAGTAGGTTGAATGTACTACCCTGGGAATAATAAATCCACTCCTAATAAATTTAATTATTTTAAAAGATAATGTTGTCATCTTTAGAATTAGAAACATAAAGTTAACTCTTTTGTAAAAATGCCTATGTCAAATAAATATTTGTAAAAATTAAATTTAAAATACAATTTAGTAATCTTGAATTTCTTTGATATTCTGTGCTTTGAAAACCCCTGCTCACTCCCCCAAAGGCATTTAAAATGTTATTTTATCTCCTCTGTCGACTGTGTCCTCAGTCTCTCTTCTTCTCCTTGTGTGTCTTCTTCTGTGCTTTCCTTTCCTTCTCCCTTGACCCTTTTTTTCCTGTTTCCCTCCATCCCTTTCTTCTGTCTTGGGTCTTCCCCATCATTATTTAAACACCCCATCTAAGAAATAAATTTAAAAGTGAGTGAAAGAAACAAGGAAATGAAATCTCACCAGAATCCACCGCCTGCCCCGCCCCCTCCTTGCTATTGTTTCCCTCCTCCCACTCACAGCTGAGCAAGTTGGTGACATTTGCTCTGCATCTATTCTCCATTACCTATTCCCTCTTGGACTTTAGCTAATATGGCACACAAATGTCTCTGTTCAGGAAAATATTTCTCATTATCCTTCATTTGAATGGGCAACTCTCTGGTCTCATTGGCTTCTCAGCAGTATTTTACCCTAATTACCAACTCTCCCCTCTGATGTCTCATCTCCTGCTCTTTCACCTACCTCAATTCTTTCAAGTGTCTATTTTCCTCTCCTACCCTTTATAGGCTCATCCCACAACTAAATTCTTTCCCATTATCTTCAGTGATTTTTGTCCCAATAGCTGGTGTATATTACCATTCACATTTGAATAACTAAAGCATTTGCTTTCAGGTGAGACTCCTCATTTCAGCTCTAGACAAGAACTTCAAGCATCTCTATTTATGTTTCTCAAAGGCACCTCAATTACCAGCTTTTCATTCCCATAGCCTCTGCCTTACTTCTTCCACAAACCAGCTCTCTTCCAGGCAGCACTASTTTTTACTGAATATGACTTCTGCAGGTAGAGTTCAGTCTTTTTCTATTCCCATAATGGGATAGATTTCTTTTTATTCAGGTGGCTTTCTTTCAGATCGCACAAGCTAGCAGAGCACCTAGTCATACTCGTAATATAACACTATCTTGTTTTAATTATTGGGTAGCTCTCCACATTGTTTCATTCATGTTTTTTATWTGTTTATGGTCTATTTTCTCCCATGAGAACATGGTTCATTTTTTAGCTTGGTTTATATTTGGTCTCAATGTGGCATACAATAGGGACATCATTTATGCTCCTTGAATGAATCAACAAATTGTTTTGAGTCACAAACTCAAGTTAGCATTGAGACCAATTCTTATCATATCCAAATAACCACCAAGTACATACATACATATTTAAACACATACATATRTATATGTTAACTGAAATATCAATCAAATCCATTTATCTCTGTCTTTAATGCTACTCATGATCTTTGTGAATTATCTTGAAATCCATCCTCTTTTCAGTAATCTGTTATCTTTTTTGAAAACATGTGTTCATACTACTACAGTTTGAAATTATTTAGTAGCTTTGCATTTCTTTATTAAAATAATGGTCAAAGCTTACATATAAAACAGATTAACTTAAACAGAGCCATTCTTTCCAGGCTTGTTTAGTGCTCTTCCTCTCTGGAATTTAAAAATGTCCATAACCTTACCCTGTGACCATCCTGATACTCCCACTGAGGCATGATATTCTAGGAGAYGGATCATTGCTGGATTCTAATGCATGACCAGGGAAGCCTTATCCAGCCCTTTCCCCACCTAATTTAGGGTGTTTTTTTTTCACCTACTTTGGCACTATTAATTTTTCAAATCTCAATTCAAAGATTTAAAAAATTCACTTCTTCAACTTCCTATAATTTTCTCTTATCCTCCAGACTAGACAATTTCCTTTGTTACAAGCCATTTTAATTCCATTTGCTTTTCTTTCAGATCATTTATTTCAATTTGAAATTATGAAAAGTATTGTAGTAAAGGATAATTTTAAGCATTGTATCAAATGAGTAAAGATTCAAGCCATCTTGGATCCCATCATCTATCCTGTGCAAAGTCACTGAAATAGACTCTTAGTTATGCAAGTATTAGTCAGATAGAAAGGGTGTGACAAGATCTCTCTTTCCTTCTTTACTTCCTTTATTCTTTTCTTTAAACTTTGAAACATAAGCAGAATTCCTTAGAGAAGTTGGACCAAATTTCATAAGGCTTCTAAGGCCCTTTTCAAGGAAAGACATAAAAAAATCCCCATCCCTGCTCCAAAACTGATAATATCTAGGGGCTGGGGATGTGGCTCAAGTGGTAGTGCGCTCGCCTGGTATGTGTGCGGCCCGGGTTCGATCCTCAGCACCACATACCAACAAAGATGTTGTGTCCGCAGAAAACTAAAAAACAAATATTAAAAATTCTCTCTCTCTCTCTCTCTCTCTCTCTCTCTCTCTCTCTTTAAAAAAACCTGATAATATCTAATCTGGAGAAATATGTAAACTTAACCCATTGCACTGTCAGAAAAAAAAATCATTTTCCTTAACAGTGAGGCACCTGGGGGACAGAAAAAGAAGTCAAGACTGGCAATTTGTGTTCAATACAACGGCTACTGTTCATAGGCATGGCTGGTTCTAATGAAATATGCATCTGGGTTTGGGTATACCTCCTGACCCAGCTGTCCTGGGACTTCACTGAACTATGGGAAACACATCTAAGAAAGTGAATGTGAATTGAAAAACTGTAATGCTGGAACTCAGAATGAAAAACCTGTCTATCTGGGAATAAAAGTAGACAAATAGATACTGTTCTGCTGAGCAAAAACATAACCACAAGCACCTTTGGCAGCAATGGAACAGTCAGAGCTTAAGGATGAATAGACTTCACTTTTAGAAGAGAACAGAACCCTTTGTGGATGAGTAACAGTCAGTATTATTCTTGGGAGCATGTTGGAGGAATAAGAGAGAGGAAGACTCCGAGAATCTGGATTTTCTGCCAAGAAAATTAAGTATAGTCAGTGGGCCACATCTATTACAAATATCCAGTTTTTGTATTTGACTTCTTTTTTTTTTTAATCTTCATACAGATCAAAGGTAGTGATATGGTCCACTTTACTCATGATTCCCCGCAGTTTGTTCRGGGTTTGACAAAATTATTTAATGAATAAGTAAACAACGGGAGGKGCATGAGTTAAATAATCACCAGTATTATAATAATCTCTTGTAAACTGTTCTATCAGCAGATGAGGAAGGGATTGATTCTATCYGTGTGGAGCAGAAGGCACAAAGGAATCTAATGAGTAAAATCTTGTCATAAGACTGAGTTCATGAGATTTTTTTTTCAAAAAGTAGTTCTTCATTTAATTACTCACCAGTGAGTGAGATATTCTGGGCTAAACTTCCCAGAAGARGTATAAAAAAGAAATAAAGGATCAACAGAACACTGTGGTCAGTATTTCACTCACCCTGTTCTATAATACTTGGCACTGTGTGAATAATTCCTTCCTTTCAGAGCCAAGTCATTGTTTGTTATTTTACATCCTATTAAAAGAGTTTTAATAAATATAAATGGATTAGTTTTTCCAGGGTGACCCCAAGATATAGTTCATAACTTTCTAATGTATATTTCTCAGAAAATTGACTTCAACGTATATTCTGTGAAGAAAAGTAGGGGTAGTTTCAGAGTTTTATATCTAAGTGTTTACTAACATTCTTAAATTTTATTAGCAAGTCAATTAGATACTTAATCAAAGAAATCATCAGAATTTTTTTTTACCATTCCATTTTTTTAGAAATATATTTAGGAATATCTCTAATATTTAACTTAATTTTTTTCTCTCAATGGGAGAATAGCTGACCGAATCCTGAAGTTATAAAACTATTCACCAAGTAAAAAAATTTCTAAAGATAATGAGAATTAATATATTTATAAAATAATGTTAAACAATGGTATTGAGTAGCAGAATAATATATGTATCATAAATATGACTAATTTTGTGTAATATATTTACTTACGGTTGTTTATATATGCAAAATATRTTAAGGAGCATTATCAGTAAAAATTCAATCCATAAAAGCCACCAAAGTAGAGAAGGGTATGATTTAGAAGGTGACAAATATGAAYATTGGCTTTTATACTTTACACTTCTATGTTTTTAACTTTTTAAAGTAAGGTTTTTTTTCTTTATCTAACATAAATAAACATGTGAATTTAAAACCGTATAAAATTTAAATAAAATGGCAATAATTATAATTTTTGGATTATAGTAGAATATGAGGTAATTTTTGGATTATAGGGTCATCAGCTTTTTTCTCCTATTTTTCATTTTTTTTCCTAATTGTCTTGATACTTTTATTGTTCCAATAGAAAAATAAATAAATCATTTACAGAAATTTTAAGAACCTATCAAACAAAGAAGGATTGGGAAGAATAGTACTTATAGTTTCACCAACAAAATACCGAYATTAACAGTTTGGCAAACACTTTTCTTTCAACATTTCAAGTTCCCCCCCCCCCATAGAATTTCCTGTTTTGCATGGACATAGTCATTAATTATTCATTTTTTTTAATTGCAAAAATAGTGGTGCCCTTTTAAAAATAAACTGTGCAGAAACAGAGCAAAAAGTGAATATGTATGTGAACATATATACATCTATTWGGAGAAAATGAGTATATATTTTATGAAGCCATATGATATATTTCTCCATACTTAAACACAGGTGATCATTTCTGTTCCATAATATTATACCACAAAGTTAATAATGGCAAAGCACCTACCTCCTTCTCCAACATCAAGCCTTCTGCTCTGAGGTTCTTTTCAAATGTGTTTCTTTTGCCATATTGTATATTCGTCTTTCTATAAACCAGGATGTAGTCAATTCGCTTTTTGCCATCTTTAAATAGAAGTCCACTAGAGGCTATGTAATTCATGTCATTCTGTAAATAAAGCAACAATTGTTAATACTGTGAGTTATATAAGTGTTCATTTTTGTAAAATCATTAGTGATCTGATATCAAAAATGTGTTTTTAATATTTCAGACTCCTATTGAGATATAGAAGGATAATTAAAGAAAGCAAGCTGTCTACTATAGGAGGCAGACCAGCAAGTGATGTTCCAGGATTTGAAATTAGATGGTCTGATTCCAGAACTGGGGGTTCATTGTGCTGACATGAGTGTGTGTATATATATATATATATCTATATATATATATCTATATATATAGATATATATAGATATATATATATTAGTAAGGCTTTATAAAATAATCAGTGAATATATGCTGTTTTACTAATCTTTGTCCAGACTGAAATGCTTTCTATTCTTTATCTCATTTAACTACTTTCAAGTTGTATTTCAAAGTTAGACACTAAGGTGAATGTATTAATCTGACACATCTTTCCTATGTACACACATGAATACACCACAGAGAATCTCCACATCATCTACAATAACAAGACTGGCATCTTAATTAGAAATAAGATGTACTCCATATGTGTATAAATATGTCAAAATATACATGACACGAGAGTATAACTAAAAATAACAAATAAGAAAAAAGAATATAAATTCTAAGAAGTGAAATCATCATGTGGTAGCTAGCACTCAGATCAGGCATTACTTTACTAAACATACACTGAACTGATACCAAAACCAGACAATAATTCCTGAGTTACTTGCTTCAGAAAATATTTACTTCCAGTATAGATAAATCCAAACCAATAAAAATAGCTTGTTCATTAAAACTCACCACTGGTTCATCAGGACTGATTGAAAGCCCTCATCTTGCTGTACCCAACAACCCAAGCTGTTTTTCATAGACTCTGACCAAATTTTTTACCAAAAGTTCTACCTTGTAAGACTGACCCCAAAGTGACTCAGCTCAAACCCTATAGCCCCTTGAGAACTCTTCCCTAAACTTACCCTTTTAAAACACTACTTGGAATACACACAGGTGGTATTCTCAGTTGCTATACAGAACTTAAATAAAACCAGGTTTACTGGCCAACATTTTTCCTAATGAATTCCTTTGGAAGGTGTTAGCTGAATGTTGCCCAAGATCACAAAAATCAGGAGTTGAATCCAATTTCGCCTTCCTCCAGGTTTATATTCTTAGTTAATATCTACCCATCCTTCTTTCTCTACTTAACTTGCAGCTGTTTTGATAGTTATGCCAACTCTCTATTTCCTGTTTCCCGTATAAGCATTCTTGAAAGTCAAAACACTACCTAACACCTGGAGAATTATCAGATGATTTTAGACAAAGACATCTCAGACATCTCTGACAAAGACTGACATTGACCCATATACGGACCCTTTTAAATAMGTGAATGRCTTTTAGAGACTGGGAAGGGTGCTAAGAGGGAGGAGGGATGAGGAAGGAAAATTGAGACTAGAAGCAGGATGGTTGTTTGCAATTAATAATAATGTATACATGCATGAAAACATCATGGTAAAATACCATCTATTTGTACAATTAATATGTAATAATAATTGTAATAGCAAAATAAGTGATGACCAGAGTGAGCTGGCATCCCCAGAGGAAAAAACCAAAAAGCCATTCAGATGAAGCAACAGAAAGTATATTTGCAATATTGTCATCTACGGCCACAGGTTAGAAGGTCTCAGTAGCTTTTGATGGTCTGTGTTATTCAGAGAGAAGAGTTTCAAGTGTGAATTCATAGTACTAGAGATGGCAATGGTCAAGGATAAGAAGGTGTTACACACTCTTTTCTTCAGTGAATGCAAAGTGATGATATTTCCAGGATCATTTTATTAAGTACCACAATAAGTCTAAGCAAGTAACCGAAACCTTGTGGTTGCATCATCATCATCAGTAACAATAACAGCTATCACTTATTGAACTCTTAATATGGGCCCACATTATACCAAGTGTTTCATCTGTAATCCTCATAGCCCTTTGAATTATATACTGACAGGAATGTATAGAAGCCAAAGAGTGACATCAGATTTCATAGAAAAGTAAACAATAAATATCACCAATTTAATAACTTATTCACTACTATGTTAAAAGAAAACAAAAGATGCAACAAAATTAGACATTTCTATGACTGAGGTTTCTGTAGTTTTGGAGGCCAACAGCTACAGCAAGACATTACATGATAGGGATATTGAGTGGCTTCTGCTTTTACCATTCCAGAGATTTATCTCCTTAAAGTCACCAATGACATACTTTTTGATATATCCAGTTATCAATTCTCTGTCCTTCTTACATGACCTAGCAGTAGCTGAATCACTTCACCCTACTTGGCATATGTAAGGAAAATAAAAAGGACACAGAGACAAGATGMAGAAGCAGGAAAAATGGCTGCTCATCCAAGTGGCCACCTTTATTTATATCACTAGGTTACATTAGGTCATTAGTGCCATAACTACATTTTTGTTTATTGTATCAGGAAGGTTTCTTATTCCATAATTACACTCTACAGTTACAATATGCAATGTTAGGAGCTTTGTGTAGCTCTCAAGAAACTCCATTATTTAAAGTTACTGTTAGTGGGCAGGTCCAGGGTCACCAGAGCTTGGTGAAACATTGAAGCTATCTAGTAAGCAAGTTCTTTTATTCCCAGGAGCTATGTGCTTGAGATCAAGGTTGCATATGATAAAACTCTAGCACAGAGACTCCTCATGCAGGGCATTGTTACAGCAGCCAGGCATTTCCTAACAGCCAGGCATTCTGTGTCTTTGCACAGAAACTTTCGTAGCCACCAAGCATATCACAGTTATGAAGCTATCCCAGACTGCAATCCCAAACACAGAACCCCTACAGGTATATCCTTTTCCTTTGACTCCTGCTACACCTCATTATTTGAATTTCTTTTACTTGAGATGGTTTCTATCTTCTGATGGTTGACTAATGGACCAGTCACTGGTTCTCTTGATTTCTTCATCTATACTCCCTTCCTAGCTATTTAATCCAGTCTCATGAGCTATAAATGACCATTTATATGTTGACAACACAAAATCAGTATTCACATGCTTGTAGATCCAACTACTTTCTTGAGTTCTTCATTTGACTGCCTATGGATATATCAAAGTTGAGTGTCCAAATGGAATTCCATATCTTCTAAAAGCAGGTGCTTCTCATAACCTTCATTATTCTAATTGATTGCAACACTATCCCTTCAACTGCTCAGACCAAAAGTCTTTCTGTTTCCTCTGTTCCACCCATCAAAGAAAACTGTTCAAAATATATTTAGAATTTTACCACTTCTAGAACTTTCACTATTACTAGTATGGCTGAAACCATAATTGCCTCTTTATTGGATTATTACAGTAGTCTGACACATCTCTTTGCTGATATGCGTGTTCYTCTCTAGTCTGTTTCCAAGCTGCAATATCTGAGTGAGCCTCAACCTTATAGAAGACCCCAAAGAACTCCAGCCCTCCAAAAGCTCTCTGTGTTCCTCCTCATTCTTCACCCTACTTTCTCTAGTTTTTCTTTGCACCTACAAATGTCTAACATGCTAGTTAGCATTAAATACTTTCTTATTRTTATCTTTGGTTTACTTACTATCTTATCATCCTAGAATAATGTTCTATAAAGGTAATTTTAAAATGTTCTGTCACTGAGTATTCCAGACATCTAACCCCCACAACAAAATATATAATAAGGATCTATAAATATTTCTAAGAAGAAGGAACAAAAGAAAGTAGGGAGGAAAGAAGGGAAGAAGGCAGAAGTCAGGAAGGGCAAAGAAGATTCATAGTTGTACATAATGAGATAGGGCTAAATTAAAGAATATAAGACAAAAAATTTAAACAGATAATTTCAAGCAAAGAAATGGAAGATGACATAAAAAAAAAAGCCTACCAACAAAGTAAAGCCCAGGACCAGATGGAATCTTGGCAGAGATCTACCAGACCTTCAAAGAAGGACTCACATCAATACTTCTCAAATTATTCCTTGAAATAGAAAAGGAGGGAACCCTTCCAAACTCATTCTATGAAGCTAGTAAAACTTTGATACCAAAACCAGACAAAGACACATCAAGGAAAGAAAAATCCAGACCACTATCCCTCTTGAACATAGATACAAAATTCTTCATAAAATCCTGGCAATGTGCATAAAAGATAATGCACCATGATCRGGTGGGGTTCATTCCAAGGATGCAAGGTTGGTGCAACATATGGAAATCAATAAATGTAATTCATAACATCAACAGACTTGAAGACAAGAATCACAGAAATACATTAATCGATGCAGAAAAAAGCATTGGACAAAATACAGCATCCATTCATGTTCACAACACTAGAAAAACTAGGGATAGTAGGAACATACCTCAACATTGTAAAAACTATCTATGTTAAACCCAAGGCCGACATCATTCTAAATGGAGAAAAATTGGAAGCATTCCCTCTAAAAACTGRAAAATGACAGGGATGCCCACTTTCACCACTTCTATTCAACATAGTCCTTAAAACTCTCCACAGAGCAATTAGACAAAAGAAAGAGATTAAGGATACAAATAGGAAAAGAAGAGCTCAAATTATCCCTATTTGCTGAGGACATGATTATACACTTAGAAGACCCAAAAACCTTCACCAGAAAGTTTCTTGAACTCATAAATGAATTCAACAAAGTAGCAAGATGTAAAACTAACACCCATAAATCAACTGCATTCTTAAAWACCAATGACAAATCCATTCACAATAGACTAAAAAAAAAAAAAAAAACAAAGAAAGAAAATACTTTAGAATCAAGGTAACAAAAGAGGCAAAATACCTCTACATTTAAAACTACAGAACACTAAACAAAGAAATTGAAGATGACCTTAGAAAATTGAAAGATCTCCCATGTTCTTGGAGAGACAGGATTAATATTGCAAAAATGGCCATACTACCAAAGTGCTATACATATTTAATCTAATTCCTATTAAAATTCCAATGGTCTTCTTCACAGAAACAGAAAAAGCA